GTACGGTGGTTGCAATTAATGCACACGTCTTGTCAAACCTTCAACAGCTAATATCTTCGCTCGCAATAGAGTAATTTGAATGAAATTTTCAAATTAATAATTTTACATTATTTATTTTCGAACTATTATAGCAAGAATGGTTAGCTCGTTATCTAAATCTTACATAATGCATCTTTAATAATGTACTCAATAAATACTCAACAAATAATAAAAACGAGTTTAAAATAGAGTCGCCTTGTTCAGTTTAACATGCATAAAACAACTCTTTTTGTTAATTGAGTACATTATTAACCGCACAACTAACTACAGCTTGTAATCAGGCTCCGGTTTCACAAATTTACTCAAAATTGTTCGCCTTATGTTAACTAAAATATAGCCCTTTATAAAACTTTTGTTGTTTTATTGTATCAAATACATCAATAAGAAACGATGTGCAGATTTTTGTGTTTCTGGATCAAAAGTTGAAAGTTGAGTAAATTCTTAACTTACGCCTGAGAATGCTTTGTGAACTTGGGGCCAGGACACATTTCTGTGTACGAGTACAGTTGCCTTACCCATATACTAGTTCACAATTCTATGGAATACAATCATTGCTTTTTCCTGAGCGACGTTTCGACTAGTCTTCTCTAGTCATTATCAAGCAATGATAAAATATAAAAATATAACAGGACACTATATACATGTAATAAGCAGTAATTGTATTCCATAAAATTGCGACCTGTATACTCCAGTTCAATTATTAAATGCCATTGAAACAGCATATACTAGTTCTAGAAAACCGGGTGCTACTTTCCAGTGTGTTGTGCAGTTCATACATGGTCATTTTTCTATTTCTGTTGTCGGTGAATGTTACAGCCCCATTTACATGCACGACATTTGTAGGGGGATCACGTGGCTGAGTGGGTTAGACGCTGGGCCGCTAGCCTGGAGATCCGGTGTTCGATCCCTGCATTGGCCGAGAAAGTTCATCCAGATTTTCCGGCGTGGTTCCCCCTTGTCAGTGATGCAGGACGGAGGGCCTGACAAGGACAGCTGTCTAGTCCTTCGGATGAGACGTAAAACCGAGGTCCCGTGTATACATTGAATACACGTAAAAGATGCCTTCGCAGTTGGAATTCGATATAAGAGTAGGCGATAGTGCCGCTGCCCGGGCAAAATTTCCCTGATAGCACACTGTATGGCGTATGCCCGTCTTCAATAGCCCAGTCGGAGCAGAACAGTGGGACGTTAAACTCCATTTAATTTTATTTCATTTTGAGAGGGAGAGAGATGGGGTTTAACGTCCACTCGACACAAACTAGGTCATTTTGGGACTAACATATGGTTCAAGTTTATTTCAATTATTTGCTTGCGCGTAGGAGTCTTTAGCAGTGGGGGGAACCGGAGAACCCGGAGAAAACCCGCGAGGTTGGGCAGGCGACCCTACTCCTTGTCACGTACAACCGGGGATTCGAAACCACGCCAGTTGACTCAATGACAGACCGTATGATACAACACCCCCATTTCATTTTGATCTATTGATACAATTAGAGTAAATTAGATAGTAATTCAAGGGACATAACCACACTTATAAACTATCGTTTGATAAAAAAAATAACAAAATTCAAGACTTGCGAATAAGATAGAGAGGAGAGAAATGGGGTTTAACGTTCATTCGACACAAACTAGGTCATTTCGATACTAACAAATGATTCAATTTTATTTCAATAATTCGCTTGCCAGTTGACTCAATGACAGACCGTTTGATACAGCGTGCGCGTGCTAACCATTCGACCATCCCCACACCCCCCTTGCGAATAAAGATGAAGGTTGTGTGGACAATAATACTCAACCACTAGTTAGAAAATACACTTGGATAATCCCTGGCTTAATCCAGTTTGGGATCCTACAATGTCATTCACAGATTTTTCACCCATAACATTTCAGGGCACTGGAAAGAATTGGGATTTATTCGATTATTTATGGTTACGTGTTTGTTAAGCTGGAGCAGAACTTTGCTGATATGCAAGCGTTTCTGGCTACTCTTTTCACATTCCCACTGTCAAGATCTTTTTTAAGCGATCTGTTATTTTTTAAACATAACTTCTTTTTAAATCCCATTCGAACGAATCGACACCTTTTCCCTCAACGAGTCGAACGGAAGTCACAAAAATTCACCCGGAGTGTCCCGGGTTCAAAGAATCTTCTCGGCCCTCGGAAGTATTTGAATCCGGAATAAATGGCACATGATGATAATGTTTTGGTGAACATTTTCAAAATTAAATATATTAAGAATTACATTTGTGTTATTATTATTATTTCAAAACCGTTATACAGTTGTGTTCGCCAATGCGATCTACATAAAAATAAATATAATAAATATTAATAAAATATATGAATGATGAAATCATTTAAAAGAAAAAAATATATACATAAAATACAAAACAATACGGAATAAATGAATATAACAAACATAAAATACAAAATAATAGAAATAACATAAATAGACAGAAAATACATAAAATACAAAACAATACGGAATAAATGAATATCAATTATGCCATATTTACAAGCTATTTTATCACGTCTTGTTGTTGAGCATAAATAAATTCAGCGCCAAGACACCGCCTTATGGAACACCGAGATAAGCATATATTATTTTTACAATTTCAGTAAGTTCTATTACTATTTCAACCATTTATAGTCTGTCGTGAGGCAAGAATTTCGATATGGTGTGGGGGTGGGTGGGTCTAATTATATCACTTTTTCTACCATTTATAGTCTGTCAGGGGGCAAAAATTTCGATATGGGGTGGGGGGGGGCAAGTATATTACTATTTCTACCATTTATAGTCTGTCATGGGGCAAGAATTTCAAAATGGGGGAGGAGGATGGGCAAGTATATTACTATTTCTACCATTTATAGTCTGTCATGGGGCAAGAATTTCCAAATGGGGGGGGGGGCAAGTATAAAATACAAAAGAGTACGAAATAAATGAATATCAATCAAAAGCTGTGATTGAGATACATTAAATTAATTGTGTGTCATCAGAATACAGGTAATCAGTTATATCGCATTTTCTTTAGCTATTTGGTCGAGTGTTAAACAAGATTCAGTCGGTTTAACAACCATGTACAATCGACGAAACATAGATTAATATTTATTCCATATTTTCTAATTATTGTGTCAGTTAGTGATGTATAAAGGTTAAATAAAATCAGACACTGCCTTGCGGAACGACGAATTCAAAATCGTTTTGTTTGCACAGGACATTGTCTATAGAAAGTAATTGATTTTGTCAAGTGTTTAACAATGGTCAGTCTGTTTAACAGCCGTGTACCATCGGAACATAAATTAATATTTATGCGATATTTTCTAGCTATAGTGACATGTTAAATAAGAATGTTATATATTTAAAGCTTTATTATTAACAGAATAACCAAGCGAAATGAAATGAAATGAAATGGGGTTTAACGTCCTACTGTTCTGCTCCTAACCTGGGCTAACGAAGACGGGCATACGTCATACAGTGTGCTATAAGGGAAATTTTGCCCGGACAGCGGCACTACGGCCTACTCTTATATCGAATTCCAACTGTCAAGGGATCTTTTACGTGCACGCCAATGTGTACACGGGACCTCGGTTTTTCGTCCCATCCGAACGACTAGACAGCTGTCCTTGTCCTTCATCCTGCATCACTGACAAGGGGGGAAACCACGCCGGAAAATCTGAATGAACTTTCTCGGCTAATGCAGGGATCGAACACCCGACCTCCAGGCTAGCGAGCCAGCGTCTTACCCACTTAGCCACGAATAACCAAGCATCAGCTTGGAAAGATAATATAATATTGTGGTCAACAGTGTCAAACTACAGTATTACGAAAGTAAAATCAACAAAAAAATATCAGTCCAAAAATGATTCAATTCCGTTCAGTATTTACAAAGAAATGATGAATTAAAATTATTTCAACATTTAAGACGACATATTAACAGGTTGCAGATTGACCTGTTTTTTAATTTGATGTTTTAATTCAAAGCCAGGAAATCATAGACGACGCACATTATACTAAATAGTTTTAACATATCATTTCTCAAGGAATTATTCTAAATACGGGGGGTTGAATAGCTGAATGGTTAGCGTGCGCGCGCTTATCATAAAGTCTGTCATTGAGACGACTGGCGTGGTTTCGAATCCCCGGTTGTACGTGGCAAGGAGTAGGGTCGCCTGTCCAACCTCGTGGGTTTTCTCCGGGTCCTCCGGTTTCCTCCCACTGCTAAAGACCCATACGCGCAAGCGAATTATTGAAATAAAATTAAACCATATGTTAGTCCCGAAATGACCTAGTTTGTGTCGAGTGGACGTTAAAACCCATTCCCCTCTCTCTCTCTCTATTCTTGCCGTTCTCCAGTAAAATGATTTGCTGCTTCGTGTGTTTACAATATTGTGGACGTATATTATTTTTATTATGTTTCTAAATGAAGAGCCCAGGGGAAATACGATCTAAGTCATCTTTTCAACGAACCCCAGTTAATGGCGCCATCTGGTAGCAAGTTGTAAAAGCTTTCTGTGGAACAATCAATTTCAGGTAAAAACGACCAGATTCACATCGAACCAAGGCCCTTCTGAAATTGCCTTCCGGACAAATAAAAGTCCATCATACCCTTTATTTAACCTTGTACTGGTAATTATGGTTCTTGTTAAACACCATTTTTAAGTTGTAATTAATCCTACGCGTTGTTCTGTTCGCGTCAAGCATTCTCGTCCTAAAGTCTGTTTTGCGTTTTATGCGAAAAGAAAAAAAATGTGACTTAGATCGTTCTTTAAAAACATCCTAAACCAATGCATGGCTGCAGTAAGCAATAACTATAGTGACAGATGTCATACACTAGCTACGGTACAAGGTATCTAAAAACACTCTAAATCAAAGCATCGTTTCACTGTGGTATAAGTAGTGAAGGGTATGCTAGGGTTTCTAGGGCACCTGTCATTTAAAAAGTTGTCATAATTAACAAATGTGTCACTGCATGGTAAGCCCAGTCCACACCCCTGTCACTGCATTGTAAACCCAATCCACACCCCTGTCACTGCATGGTAAGCCCAATGCTATTTTGTTTCAGAAGTATTCACTAAAACCCGACAGACAATGCCAATTCTAACAACCTTCTTCTTCGATTTCAGACCAAAAAGGACAGAAGGCGGGAAAAGAGAGAATGCCTGATAAACAACGGTCAACGTTCAACTATCATGAAATCTGGAGAAGCAATTACTAGTCCACACCTCTGTCACTGATGACACGTGGGAAGTCCAATGCTGTTTCATTTCGTATGGCTTGGTCTCCAGCCCTGTTTTATACGATCCAATTTAATCAGATCGGTCGATTTTAGACGGAAGGGTTTCGACCTCAGATTTTCCTTCGAAAAAACAGAGAACATTTTCCCATCGTAAGCTTCCTTCCCACAAATCTTCGCTAAACTCGACAGTTTACATAGTTTAAACACGTCCTTTAATTCCTCGACCGTGAGGTCAGAAAATGGTTTTACTGGTTTTTGATCACCAGTTGTGGTTGTGGAGGATTTAGGTTTTAAATCCAAATCATCAATCTCAACATATTCACCCACCTCTTCGTCATCATCATCATCATCATCATCATCTCTATTTTGATCTGCTTTCGTTTTAACTGATGATGTCAAGGTTGACGTATTTTTGTAAAGGGGTCCAATAGTCCATTGAACCTGAAAAATGACACATCATTCATTTTATCTTTGATATTAATTTCATTGCAAGTTTGGGAGTCACGGTGGTTAAGTGGGTAAGACGCTGGCTCGATAGCCTGGGGGTCGGGTGTTCGATCCCTGCATTGGCCGAGAAAGTACATTCAGAATTTCCGGCGTGGATCCCCCTCGTCAGTTATGCAGGACGGAGGGCCTGACAAGGATAGATGTCTAGTCGTTCGGATGGGACGAAACACCAAGGTCCCGTGTACACATTGGCGTACACGTAAAAGATCCCTTGACAGTTGGAATTCGATGTAAGAGTAGGCCGTAGTGCCGCTGTGCGTGCAAAATTTCCCTCATAGCACACTGTTTGACGTATGCCCGTCTTCATTAGCCCAGTTCGGAGCAGAACAGCAGGACGTTAAACCCCATATCATTTCATTTCATTGCAAGCTTCCATGAAACCCAATTAGGACCAATTCTAGTGGCCGAATAGCGGCGTTTCCACATACTTCTTTTCAAGAAATCTTTTACATGCATTACCAAATGTTTCATCGGGGCATAGAGAATACAGTACCTATATAGCACGGTCAGTCGAAATTGAGAGATAGCAATGAAGTTTACGTTACCTTGTCGTCTCTGGTGTTGGGCTTTGTAACTTCTTTTCTTGGTGGGGGTATGGACGGCATAGAGATGACAGGATCTGAACATAAACAATTGTGGTTCTATAATATATTGAACGCTAACTTCCAGTAAAAAAGGAAAATTCTGACATAAATTTACTAACGAGCACATTGAAGCAAGTAAAACTTGTCATAATAATTATGGTACAGACTAGTCAATGGGAAGAAAAATCGAGGCCCGGTGTACACATTGGCATGCACGTAAAATAACCTTTGACAGTTGGAATTCGACATAAGAGTATCCTATAATAGTGCCGCTTCCGGGGAAATATTTCCCTCATAACATACTGTACGTCCCTGTCGGCGAAGAACAGAAGGACGTTAAACGCCATCTGATTTCATTTTCATAAGGTGTGTCACCGATAGAACCACGTGAGTTTCGTTGGCATCTCATCATTTCTCTCGATAAAGTCTTTTTCTTTTAAAGTTACAATTTCATATTTTCTAAGAAAGTCAAAACATAATTATTTCTATTTCTTTTGCTCAATAGGTTGTCAACTCACTATTATACGATCATATGTGTCATTGTAACACTTAAAACTCATTTACACCGGAAATAATAACACAATTACCTCCATGGTTTTCTATTCTCCACCATGGAGTAGCTATCTTCAAACGTTTGAATTTGAAGAGGAAAATGATATTTTTGCCAATTTCTCAACTGGTAATAGTGAAATATAGGATTAATAGGATTATTCTTTAACAAGGTAGGACTGTTTATAGATACCATCTATTTTAAGACTTTATTTTAATAAATTTTAAAAATATAACGTAAAAATATGAAATTGCAACTTTAAAATAATATTTGTTATGGAATATAGACCATATAAGGTGATATTGTTAGAAAGGTGACCGAATCGTCATTTTGAATTTTTGTATTCTGGACTGGTAAATGTCATCATTGTATATCTCTATATAGTTTTCACAACATTGGATATTGAAGGGTAAACTGTTGTTTTTTTTGTACTGGACTGTTAAATGTCATCACTGTATATATCTATATAGTTTTCACAACATTGGATATTGAAGGGTAAACTGTTGGTTTTTTTGTACTGGACTGTTAAATGTCATCACTGTATATATCTATATAGTTTTCACAACATTGGATATTGAAGGGTAAACTGTTGGTTTTTTTGTACTGGACTGTTAAATGTGATCACTGTATATCTATATATAGTTTTCACATCATTGGATATTGAAGGGTAAACTGTTGATTAATAACAGAAATTTTCTGTAAAGGGCATTTAGCGATATATAATAACAGACATCTTTATGTATAACAAGTCATTCAAATTGATCCACCCTGAACCGTGTATTTAGCGATTGAATTTTGGACCTAGCCTCGATCATCATTACTAAAGTCGGTACTATAAAAAACATAGTCTCGATTATCCATTTTTGATTTAATCAGAAGCGGCAGACCGGGTTCTAATCCAGTAAATATCGAGAGTTGATTATGGTCTGGTTAGGTTAATTAATAATTTAGATAACATTTCAGGCCTAAAGAAAGACCTTCAATTGGTAGATTTAGCTCTTGCATAATGGATGTTTAACTGTAACGATTCAATGGGTACCCTCACCGCCAGTTAGTTATATGGTGAGAGTACCCCCGTTGAAACCTAGCGAATGTTATCCATACAGCTGTCTGTTTTAATAACAAAATTGCAGGATTGTTTTCACAATTCATTAGGAAATGACCTTACAATATTTTCAACAGAATGGGATAGTCTCTTTAAATTTTCTACCTGCCAAAACCATATTATCTTTCTCAATATACCATATATGTGTCAAATGGCGTACTAACTATGCGATGTAACTAGACTAATAATAAAGGCGCTTTTACTTCAGAAGGCGTCATCATGATCCTACCTAACGATATTCTTTATATATTTACCTGGTTGAGGCGCTCTTTTAACTGCAGAAACCGTTGCCACGGGCTTGGTCTTCTTTCTCGGTGGACGTGGTGGAGGGCATTTCTCTTTACCCTCTAAAGCAAATCGCACTTGGGCTTTCTTCGTGAACTCAACATACAGCGAGCCGTCCATAACTTCACTTCCTTTGGGGGTATGTGAAAAGTTCCTGGCAACAAAAAAGTTATAATTCGAGGAGTCCATATACATCGGATACTGAACGGAAACTTCACTTAACTCGGGATTGCTTAGGGGAAGAACAAAAGCGGATCTTTTGATAAATTTACTTTCACTCTTATCTTGATTCTCTTCCAGGGCTTTGTAGTGGCCCACAAGGACGTCTTCAGAGTATACATGATTTAAGCACATTTTCCCTTCAAAAGAATCCAGGTTGCCAAACGCTTCCAATATATCATCGGACACAACTTCTCTGGAAAGTGTCTCCCCGAATTGAACTATCTGTGGCAATGGGAACCTGTCAATGACTTCTTGTAAACTATACTCATCTTCGTCTGGTAAAACTTGAAATTGTCCCTTTAGAGTTGAAGGAATGTGAATGATATCGTTCAAGTTATGTAAACATCTTAGGTACCGAGGCGATGCTTTCTGATCAGTGGTTACGGGAAGACTTTTAAGTATGTCGCCATGTTTTAGATTAACAACGGAATCCCTTCCTTTAAAGCTCACAGCTTCTTGCACATGAAGATATCGCGGTCGATCTTCCATAACATCTGTGATATTTGAGTATACGTATTGTACTCCATTAGCTGGGAGAATTTTAACTGCACCTCTGTAAGAGAGCGGGATGCTGAATTCTCCAGGTATTGATCTATACACAGATCTACGTGAAGTCCTTCGATGATCCAAACTCTGACTCTTCTCGGAGCTACTCTGTTTTGTGCTCGAACAAGAGCTCAAACGAACAAAATTAGTTTTTACCTTTTCAATAGTTTCCAAACTATCAATTTTCAGAAGATCCCCGCATGAGAAAGTACTGACGTCCTGGTGGCTGTAGAATCCCTCGGTAACCTTGACGACACAGGGGAATGTAGCATGGTCCCCTAATTCCTCCAGTGTAGTGACGTCATCACACCATTCTATATTGTCAACGTTCTCGGCCATGCTGTTGACTGTTCATCAAACCATAGAACATACAGTAGGTATGTAAGACAGTCGGCCGAGATTGTCACGCTGGTCCACTTCAGGAAATACCAGCAAGAACTCCAGCTACTCGAACTCACCTCCGACAAGTCCAGCAACAATTCTAGCTACTCGAACCCACCCCGACAAATCCAGCAACAATTCTAGCTACTCGAACCCACCTCAGACAGGTCCAGCAACAATTCTAGCTACTCGAACCCACCTCAGACAAGTTCAGCAACAACTCTAGCTACACAAACCCACCCCAGTCAAGTTCAGCAAAAACTCCAGCTACTCGAACCCACCTCTGACAAGTCTAGAAACAATTCTAGCTACTCGAACCCACCTCCGACAAGTCCAGCCGCAATTCTAGCTACTCTAACCCACCTCGGACAAGTCCAGCAACAATTCTAGCTACTCGAACCCAGCCCAGACAAGCCCAGCAGCAATTCTAGCTACTCGAACCCACCTCAGACAAGTTCAGAAACAATTCCTAGCTACTCGTACCCACCTCAGGCAAGTCCAGCAACCCACATCAGACAAGTCCAGCAACAACTATAGTTACACAAATCCACTACAGACACGTCCAGCAACAATTCTAGCTACACGTACCCACTTCAAACAAGCACAGGAAGAATGTATACTTATCTCGGCTGTGTTGATCGCAAATGACTGGTAAGAGTCGATTTTGATTATAGGCATCGAATGGGTCCGTGTCTTTGATCGAGTCATGTATAAATTATCCAATTAATTAAAAGTTATATTACTCTCTGTCTAACATGAATGGACGTCTTAATATAGGGCACGGTCACCTCATATACATGCTTTAACTTGCCAGATAACACCGCATAGTCATTTAACTTCCGTATTAAATATAAAATATTAAATTACACCTTATGACTAGATCTATTTGTTAAGGCCAACTCAATATTCGTCAAGGTCGCTGAGATGTAAATAAGGTTAGAGCACGTGATTGTTGGTGGGGTTGTAGGTTAGGTTTAAGAATTTGGGGGAGAGGTTAAGTCTCCGCATAAGCACTGACCTAGGATGATGACAAATTAGTTCGTGATATTTCCTAGTTTTATTAAAAAAATACATACAATACATTAGATTTATATACAAAAGCGATTACACTGTTTTTTGGTGTTGGTGGCGCTGATCTATTTGTTAAGGCCAACTCAATCTTCGTCAATGTCGCTGAGATGTAATTAAGGTTAGAGCACGTGATTGTTGGTGAGGTGTGTAGGTGAAGGTTAGGGTAAGCGTTAGAGCTAGGTCCAAGGTTTGGGTTAGGATTGGGATTGGCGATAGCCCTGTTTACATCTCGTGACCTTTGATCACCCTTAAAGCTGGCCTTATGAAATAGGTCTAACCAAAAAATGGCTGTCTTCAATTACAACTTATAAATAGTAGTGGCACACATACAATGCACTATATCACTTGCACAGTTATAGATTACCAGTTAAGAAAGAATGCTATTCATAGAATTAATGTATTGGTTTGGGGTGGGGTGGTTGGCTTATAACACATAATGTAATAATATTATATTCTTAGATATTAATAGATAGGTTTTTATTCATATTGAAAAATAACAACACACTGTGCTTTAACAGCAATTTCTATTTGTTTGCTTAAAATAGATATATTGTCGTTAGTGTGCTTATTTGCGTGATATAAAGAACTCGGGCATATCAACTTCCTAGTAGCGAGGTCAACTGCATAAACAACTTTGATCAAAGTAACGGTTATGGTGACTGTCCAATAATGTGTGTAACGACTTCGTGCACTTTGATCCATGTCTTTCCACTGCATGTGTTATAAATAAATGTAATGTGAGTGGTAGACCGAATTAATAGTTTATATAATGTTATCTTGGGTTTTCCTTCTACATGAAGTGGGGGTCGTGGCGGATAAGTGAATAAATGAAATGAAATGGGGCTTAACGAACTACTTCTTTGCACCGTATGGGCTAATGAAGACGGGTTACACGCCGTACACTGTGCTGTTTTGCCCGGACAGCGGCGCTACGACCTACTCTTATTTCAAATTCTAACTTTCAAGGGTTCTTTTATGTACACACATACAGGCCTGTCATTGAGTCAACTGGTGCGGTTTCGAATTCCCGGTTGTACGTGACAAGGAGTATGGTCACCTGCGCACAAGCGATGTATTGAAATAAAATTAAACCATATGTTAGTCCCGAAATGACCTAGTTTGTGTCGAGTGGACGTTAAACCCCATTTCTTTCTCTCTCTCTCTCTCTCTCTCCATAAGTTCGGTTAGTTCAGAACATTTCATACTAAACTTAGGCTGTATGTCTACAGTGCTGCTTGAGAACAGACACTAAGCTAGATGACTGACATTTTAAGTCATAAATCGACTTTTGGAAGAGGTCTATTCTTGAAGTATGAAGTAGACGTATCTCTGTGTGCAGAATGGGGATATTTAAGAGGCCAAACCTTATTTCATCACCAGGTTCCTTAATACTGTGTTCAGTAGTTTTGTTTTCGGAAAACGGGAGACAGAAGAGATGTGTACTGGACTAATCGATAAGGACTGGTCAGGATACTAATGATAATTGTCAATTGAGAATTGAAAAATGTCCGCATTATTTCATCAGGGCCTGTCGATGCTTTGTACGTTTAAATTCACTGTATCATATGGTCTGTCATGGAGTCAACTGGCGTGGGTTCGATTAACCGGTTGTTCGTGACAAGGAGTAGGGTCGCATGTCCAACCTCATGGGTTTTCTCCAGGTCCTCCGATTTCCTCCCACTGCTAATGACCCCTACGCGCAAGAGACTTATTAAAATAAAATTGAACCATATGTTAGTCCCGAAATGACCTCGTCCAATCCAATTCAGGGCGGTCGAACACTACCCCACCACATCGCTTTCGACCAGAGTGTAGATTTCTTTTAATATGATCATCCTTTTCAAACATGGTGGATTGTTTAGTGGGTTATCCCTGCTATAAACCTATTTGTACTGTGAAGCCTAAAATGATAACCAGCCCCCCCCCCCCACACTCGACTCCCACCACCACCCCTGCTCCCCATGAAACTATAGCAGAGTATTCTGTTTAAATTTACCTGTCTTGTTTTAACCTAGTGTAGGCCTTAAATATTTAGGACAACTCCGGGGTTTCGTAGTATTGTACGAGTCATACAACCCGTGTAAAATAGATACGGTAGATTGTTTTGTGACCATGTGTAGTATTATGATTGACGTGTAATGAAATATATTATCATGAACGTCAGTATATATCGAGGGTTTAAAAAATGCACACTATTATATTACAGGTGTAGATATACCGTATACTACCCATTATATGAACTCCCGTAGTAATATCTCCTTAATATTACTAACAATCGACTGTTGTATTTGGAGAGAGAGAGAGAGAGAGAGAGAGAGAGAGAGAGAGAGGGGGGGGGGAATTTACAGAATTTACTTAATCCAGATAGGTCTATTTTCGTTTCGATTCCTAACTGCGGTGCATCCTAAATGAGCTGTCAGTGTTATACATGTTTTTTTTCCATCCCATCCGGATGACTATTGTATGTTTCAAAAGTGTACAATTGTGACTACTAAAACTGTAAGTGATTATGTAAAAACCATACGAGATGTGGAAAAGGAATCGTTTTAGGTCAACCCAAGGTTTTTTTTTTAAATTCCAGTCGCTTGTTGGTAGACTTATAATTAAAGGAGCATTATGTAAGATGTAGATAAAGAGCTGGCTATAATGAGCGAAGTTATAAAAGGTTGTACTTTTGACAAGATGACTGTGTGCATTGATCATAACCGTTATACTAGTCGTTCAAATCTTGGTCTCGCTTATTCTGGTCCACTTAAAATCGGAGACACCCGATGGCATCGAGAGTTGATTATGGTCTTGTCATGTTAATAAATGTCTAATTAATAATTTACATAACATTTAAGGCCCAAAGAAAGACCCGCAATAGGCAGATTCAGCTCCTACATAATACCTGTTAATATTTTCTATGAGTCCACAAGTGTGAAGCACTTCATGGATTCTTAATGGTTCCTGAAACAGAATGTAGAGTACGCGGCAGCAATTGAATAAGTGGTCGGTGAGGTTCCCCAAAATTCTAAATATCAAGCATTTATTTGAAGATGTGGGATTTGGCGAGTTTAACAACGCCTCACCCCCCCCCCCCACACACACACACACACACCTTGTGGGGATTGGATGGCCGAATGGTTAGGACGTGCGCGCTGTATCATAAGGTCTGTCATTGAGTCAACTGGCGTGGTTTCGATTCCGCGGTTGTACGGGACAAGGAGTAGGGCCACCTTTCCATCTTCGTGGGTTGAAATAAAATTGAACCACGTGTTAGTCCCTAAATGACCTAGTTAGTGTCGAGTGGACGTTAAACTCCATTTCTCTCTCTCTCATACCACACCACACCCTCACACTCTGCACACCTATTTGTTAGATTACGGTATTTAATCCCACTATCCTATTGCGAGTATACATAGATAACATATTTAATCTCAACTGATGGGATTAGATGGCGTTAAAATCCAACAGTGATTTAATCTCTTCGTCAAAAATATCATTTCATAAATAATTTTAATTCTATATCGTATAACTTGTATAAGCATAGCAGAAACTATAAAAAATGAAATGGGGTTTAACGTCCTACTGTTCTGTTCCAAACTGGGCTAATGAAGATGGGCATACGCCATACAGTGTGCTATGAGGGAAATTGTGCCCGGACAGCGGCACTACGGCCTACTCTTATATCGAATTCCAACTGTCAAGGGATCTTTTACGTGCACGCCAATGTGTACACGGGACCTCGGTTTTTCGTCCCCTCCGAACGACTAGACAGCTGTCCTTGTCAGGCCCTCCGTCCTGCATCACTCACAAGGGGGAACCACGCCGGAAAATCTGGATGAACTTTCTCGGCCAATGCAGGGATCAAACATCCGACCTCCAGGCTAGCGAGCCAGCATCTTACCCACTTAGCCACGTGATGCCCGAAATGAAATGGGGTTTAATGTCCTACTGTTCCGCTCCGACTGGGCTAATGAAGACGGACACTATGGCCTACTCTTATATCGAATTGAAGACAGGAAGAACAACATGATGAGTCGCGGTTGGGGCCCAGGTCTCGGTCCAAATGTCTTGACGTTTCTGCATCGACCGGCATAATGAAGGCTGGCCTACCCCATACAGTATGATATGTGGGGAATTCCGCCGAGACAGTAGGGTTTCCGTATATTTTTTATCGAATTCCAACCGTCAAGGGTTCTTTTACGTGCACGCAAACATGTACACGGGATTCCGGGTTTACGCCCCATTTTGTTGTTGTTTATTACAGATTTAACGTCCAATACATTCAGTATGATATTATGGACAGGTTGATTTAATTAAATTATTTATACTTGAAAATTGTTAAAAACACAAAATAAAAAAAATCCTCGGATATCAAAAGTTCCTTAAAACACACTTATAAATTCGCTGTCGTGAGAAGAGAGGGTGGGTCATCTTCTCCCTTTGTCATAATAAAGTTAAAACAGGAGGTCCAGCTGACTGGTGTTTGGCGTCATCAGAGCGGATAGAAAAAAAAAAGGGGAAAAAGCTTTATGTGGAAAATCACATTACTGGACCCGTAGATTATTTGCATATTAAAAGTGTTCATCCAATAAGTTCCATATGCTTAAAATTAAAAGTTCAAGACTTCAAAGTCAAATCCGAACGACTAGATTATACGTCACCGCGGTTCCCCAAAAATGTGGAAGTTGAGCTTTTAATTGCCCCCCCCCCTCGCTCCACGCCCCTTCCTCTACCCCTACCCTCGAAA